CAGTTACAGGCAGCGGATCGGAGTGGGAGTGACCGAGGAGGGCTGAGCCGATCGAGCAAGTAACTGATTGATGAAACTCGTTGCAATGGCAGGAATGAGGATTAAACTCTTCTATTCATAAGCTCGTCATTGGCTTGTCCGAGATGCTCATCAATCCAAAGCACATGACCGTTCCAGCACGGCCGCCCCACGCAGTCTCCATTGTCGCGCACCCAGCCGCCAGAGCTGGGAGAGACACAACCATATTTCACAACACCCTGCCACCTTGCCGGGTGCCGTTCCGCCGGAGTTGGGAGAGACTATAGACAACCATTAATAGTCAACAACAACAGCGCCGGCACGGCCGCCCCATGTTGCTGGGCACCGAGCTTCCGGAACTGGGAGAGACTAGAGACAACATATTTCACACCAGTGGTCAAAGGCTTCTAGAAAAGAAAAAGCGGTCAACAGGAATAGCACCAACACGGCACGGCCGCCCCGATGGCATATCGATGCCATCTGGTCTCTCCTCTGTGGGTGGGGAATCACATCAACACACCCTGATTTCACTGTATTCATTCACTAAATTTGGGCGTGATTGGGGATTCAGATTCAGCACTTGACTCTGTCAGGTCAAGCCGTGACTTTCCTTTTATCACCCACGTACAATTCCGATCTGAGGACCCATATCGCGTTGTGCCGCCTGCCGCGGCGCCGAGAGGACGTAAAAGAGGGAGGGAGATGGGTCGGGCCGCTGGCTGCCGTCAAATCGCAGGGGATCCGAGTGGCCGCTGCTGGGATGTGGTCTGGTACTCTGGTCAAGGAAGGGGCTGCAGGGCAACGACTGCACCGAGACCCTGTCGGGCTGCCGCCGGCGGACACTGCAGCGACACCGTGAAGGAGAGACATGCACCTGTGTGTGATGCCAACAATCTAGAGCTGCGATGCTAGTCATTTGATCTTTTCTTTACATGCGTGTTCCTACTTCCTAGCAAGTAATACACCATCAATTTGATTCCATTTTGCAGCTTTATGGTGCTCGATCCCCGGTGACCCTTGTGTTCCTGACTTCCTGGTAAGTTGCATCCCCTTGAAACACACTTTGCAGCTTCTAAATCAAATACTACTGGCTTGTGAACCAAATACTCCTGAACATAGTGGTAGTTCATAAAAAAATGTTGGGCAACCATTAAAAATGACTTCTATGAACTTTGCTGGGCTTTTCATAGCTACAATGTCTGCCTCCAGAGTATTAACTCCTCCTTTATCACTCTTGTTCCAAATATTGATAGCCCCACTTTTATATCTGATTACAGACCCATATCCCTTCTTAATTGCTCAATGAAAATCATTACCAAAATCCTTGCCAACAGGCTCCAGGCTATCATTCCTTCTCTTATTCACAAAATCCAATATGGCTTCATCAAAAACAGAACAATCCAGGATTGCCTTGCTTGGTCCTTTGAATACCTGCACCTATGTCACCATTCTAAGAAGGAAATCATCATTCTCAAGCTGGACTTTGAGAAAGCTTTAGATAAAATTGAGCACCAAACTATTCTAAAACTTATGGAAGCAAAGGGTTTTGGACCAATTTGGCTTGGATGGATCAAAAACATTCTCTCCTCTAGGACCTCCAATGTGCTACTCAATGGGGTGCCAAGAAAAACCATTCATTGTTAGAGAGGGGTCAGACAAGGGGATCCCCTCTCCCCTTTCCTGTTTGTCTTGGCAGCTGATTTTCTCCGGACCATACTGAACAAAGCAAGACAAAGAGGCCTTCTCAACCTTCCAATCCCTCTGAATACCTCTTTGGACTTCCATGTGATTCAGTATGCTGATGACACCCTTATTGTCCTTGAAAGTGACACAAGACAGTTGTTTTTTCTGAAATCTGTGTTACATTCCTTCTCTGAATCCACTGGGTTAAAAGTCAACTTCAATAAATCCATGATGGTTCCAATTAACATTTCTCCAGAAAAGTTTAACCATCTAGCCAATACCTTCGGTTGCTCTAAAGGATCCTTCCTTTCACTTATCTTGGCCTTCCCCTGGGGATCACTAAACCCAGAATTGATGATTTCCTCCCCCTTGTTTCTAAGTGTGAAAGAAGATTAGCCTGCACTTCTACTTTCCTCTCCCAGGCTAGGAAACTTGAGCTCACAAATGCTGTGCTTTCAGCTCTTCCCACTTTCCACATGTGTACTCTATCCCTTCCTAAAGGAGTAATTAAACAGATTGATAAATTCAGGAAACACTGCCTTTGGAGAGGGGCTGACATAAATTCTAAAACAACCTCCAAAGGCAGCATGGGAAATGGTGTGTGTACCAAAGGAGGAGGGAGGCCTAGGTGCTATTGACTTAAAGAAACACAATGAAGCTCTACTAATGAAAAATCTAGATAAATTCTTTAACAAGAAGGACTTGCCCTTGGTTTCTTTGGTTTGGGAGAAGCATTACAGCAATGTGGTAAGTTACCCAATGCCACTAAAAAAAGGCTCATTCTGGTGGAGAGACATCCTCAAGCTTCTGCAAACATTCAAATCCTTCTCCATCATTCACATTAAAATGGAAGCACTTGTCTATTTTGGGAAGATAAATGGATCCAGCAGACTTTGAAAATGATTACCCTGAACTTCACTCCTTTGCAAAAATCAAAGTTATCTCAGTCAGGGAATTTTATGCTTAGCAGCATCTTCCAGACCTTTTCAATCTACCCTTGTCCAATGAAGCATATTCCCAACTGCAAGCAGTGCAATCTTTCCTTGAGCACTTTCCTTTAACTGATGGAGATGACAAATGGTCATCCAATTGGGGGGAATTTTCAGCAGCTAGAACCTACAGCTTTCTAATTGGACATAGAGATGTCCACCAAGCATACAGATGGCTCTGGAATTGTTTTTGTCAACCAAAACATAAGGTCTTCTTCTGGTTACTCCTAAATGACAGGCTTAGCACAAGAAATATACTAAGAAGGAAGAATATGCATCTTGATTCATTCAACTGCGTACTGTGTAGCCTTTCAGTCGAAGAAACCTATCAACACCTTTTCATTGATTGTTGGAGCATGTTGGGTATCAGTTTTCAGAATGGAGTGGACATCTTTGAATGCATATTACAACTCAGAGATAAATCTCATCCAGTCTTCTTCATGATGGTTGCAATTTTAATGTGCTAGGCAATTTGGTCTGTCAGAAACGACTTCATCTTAAAAAAAGAACAGCCAGAGATACAAGCAGCAAAGAGAATATTCAAAAAAGAGTTATCACTTCTGAGTTTAAGGGCAAAAGTCAAAGTTTCAATCACTTTTGACTTATGGATCCTTGTAATCTTTTTACTCTCCCTTGTTTTTTTTTCATTTCCTTCTTTGTTTCTTAACTGCTTGTACAGTAACTCTTTCGCTTTTTTTTACTCAATAAATTTCTGTAGTGATCCACACCCCTCCAGTTTCGTCCAAAAAAAAAAAATGAGTTTAGTTGGGGTCATCAGGTCAGGTCAGGTAGAAATCTTGTATATTAGCCTTGTCAAGACTGTCTTACTTGCCTCTCTGAGAACTCCTGTTGCATGTTTGCCATCTCGGAAATAATTACTCTGCATTAAAATCGGCAGTGTTCAGCAGCATGTACGAGTGGTAGAGCTATTGGACTCGCTTTCCGTGACTCCACCCCTTTTCAGGTAGTTTGGTGCATCGCTATTCTTCCTGTTTTGATGGCAAATGAGCCTGAAACTTCCATCGATTGGTTGAAGAAAGCGTTAATAGTGGCACACATAGGAGTTGTGCGAAAGGATGGAGAAGAAATTCTGAAAAATTAGTAAAATTGTTTTTGCATGCTTCCACAATTGCACACCAGGCCAAATGTGACTGTTTTGCTCTTTTTAGGGAGCTTTCGCCTTTCGGGAGCACGTTGTCTATGACCGAATCCCAGAAACATATTTCCTGAGTAAGCCATTCTGTGTATCTATTTTCTAAATGCTCTTGGAGTCTGTCTATTTCGGTGTTTCCATGATTAATTTGACCTATTGATCTGTACTGCTATTATTTAGCTTCACTATCCTAGTTCTTCATATCACTGTCGGTTCTAGAAACCCCTTCACTGCCGGATTTTGAACCGACAGTGGCATACCAGCAGTGATGGGGGGTTGACATCATTGCCGGTTACCTAAAACCGACAGTGATCTACAGGCAAGAGTGTCGGTTCCTGGCGGCACCCGATAGTGTCCGGTTAAACCAACACTCACTACGCCAGAATCGATTTGTGCTGGCACAAGGAAATTAGCGTGCTGGCAAGCGCGATTGGCACCTGCCAAAGACACAGAATCGCGTCATCCAGTGGGAAGCACCAGCAAGAAGACAAATGGTGCATTTATCTTTGGCAACGCAGCACCTACCTACCAAAGACAGGTCACCCCATCTCTGCTGGCGGGTGACATAATCACCCGCCAGCACAGAGAGCACTGTGCTGGCGGGCAACATAAGCCCATCGCCAGCATAGATGGGTGACCTGTGTTGGCGGTTGGTTATGTCGCCCGCCAGCACAGAGCACAGTATAAAAGCTCCTGTTCATCATCCTCCCCAGGCAACCTTCCATTTTGGCGCTTGCCTGAGAGGAGCTCGGGAAAAGCCCAAAAACACCAAATCTAAGGGGGGGGAGGTTTTGCTCTTGATTTCCTTAGGAGTCCTTGGGGGAGGTGGCTAAGGTGAGTTTGTGCCATTCCAACCTTCATTAGCTTGTCATCTAGATCTAGATCTAGAACTAGGAGAGAGAGAGAGAGGAGGCAAGAGAGAGAGAAAATAGAACTAAGTGTCCTTCATCTCTCTGTGACACTTAGTTCTAGAAAGGTCCTTAGCCTTTAAATGAAAGCACACGTCAATAACAGAATGCATGACAAGTAAGATAAGAAGAAGGTAAACAAGCATACAAGCAATAACACAAAGGTACAACCACGCACATGAGTACACATGTCTATTACATGAAGATCCACAAAATAACCAACAAACACCCCCCAAGCTCCCCCTATCTCTACTCCCCCTTAGGCGACGAGGCAGAAGCGGCGGATCCGGAGGGCTGAACAACGTATGCCGAGGCCTCGGCGTCGGAGCTAAAGCCAGAAATGCTGGGAGAACTCTCGGGAAGAGCTGGATCAACACGAGGGGAAGCGGGCATGCCACCCTCAGGCAAAGGAGAGGAAACTGTCCCCTCAACCTCAGAAGCCATCTCTGCCTGAATCTGCTGAGTGACAGTGCGAAGAGCGGCATCCGGCTCGTCAAGCCCCTCGGACCGAGGTGTCACAAAGGACGGAAGAGGAGAACTGGACCTCGGCGCTGGGAGATCAGAAGGCTGCGGCGGTGTCTCCTCTGATAGAAGTGGAGCTGTAGAGAACGGAGCAGACACCTGAGTCGACATCGGACTCGTGAACTCACCCTGCCGTGGCTGCTCGGGAGAAGAAGCCGGTGACTGTGTAAGCTGAGGCTCGGTCGTCTGTGGTAGGGACAACATCCCAGTCTGCAGAAGAGGTGAGACTGGGTCAGTGGCCAAGGGAGTCTGCACGAAACCAACAACCGGAGGAGCAGGAGCTGTGGGTTCGTGCTGGATCTGCTGAGTGGTAGGAAGTGGGGGTGGCTCTAGCCCGGTGTGACAATACAGCTGTCCTAGGCATCCAGAGAGAAAAGAGAACATCTGACCGGTAAGCATCTGCTGCCTCTGAGCCTCCTGCTGTTGTCTCATACCATCAAGAATGACCTGCTGGGTCTCAAGCTGAAGGGACATATGAGACTGCATCTGTACCATCCTCTCCTCAGCCCGCACCATCCTCTCTTCGTAGGGTGTTTAGTTGGGTGAATTTTGGATTTTTTTTTTTTTTTTTTTGCTACGGTAGCACTTTCGTTTTTATTTGATAATTAGTGTTCAGTCATGGTCTAATTAGACTTAAAACGTTCGTCTTGCGATTTTCAACTAAACTATGCAATTAGTTTTTTTTTTCCTACATTTAATGCTCCATACACGTATCGCAAAATTCGATGTGATGAATACTGTAGCACTTTTTTAGAATTTGGTCTAGCAACTAAACACGGGCTCACTCGCCCGCTGCACGGCTGTCACAGACTGGAGTATAGCTGTGAGCGTGTCGGTCTGAGTGACCTGAGCAGCTGTCACTGTGGGAACTGTCGGCTCTGGCGCTGGCTCATGCTGTCCTGGAAGAGAAGAACCACACGCCTCATCATCATGAGCACGACGAACTCTGAAGGACTGTAGTCATCGTCCTCATCGGAGTACTCAGAATCTGTGGCAAGGTAGTGTGGAAGAGGAGCCTCAGCGGCTGCAAGTATCTCATCCTCTCGCTCGGCCTCACCCATGGCTGCCTGTGCAATAGCTCTCTCCTCAAGCTCAACATGTGCACGCCGAACCCCTCTAGCTCCTCTCCTAGCATCATTAGGCATTGTGGGCCTATAGAACTTGAAGCACGTCTTGCAGCTCTCATAAATGGATATGTGCAGCCGACCTCCCAAGCAAGCCAACAACCAACTAATCCAATGAGCATATGGCTGCTGACGGTTCATGCCCATCCCATGCATAATAGCATCCTCCACCTCGGACACCAAAAGATCAACGATGTCAAACGGCCTGTGTCTCATGATGTGTACGAGAAGCCACTGCTGCAGTCCGGTGATCGACTCGGCATTCCCAACTCTGAAGAGTAAAGACCTCCTGAGAGCGTTGTGAACCACATACGCCTCAGAAGTCAAGCGAGGGTCAATGTGAACTGTAGCATAGAAGATTCGGACCCAATCTGGAACATATCGGGACCTCTCACTGAGTAGGCCCTGTTCGGCTGGACTTATTGCTGCTATGGCTGATTCGTAGGACTGATTTGTTGTGAGAGAAAAATATTATTCCCATAGCTAAAAAGTAGGGGTGATTCTGGCTGATAAGCTCAAGCGAACAGGGCCTAGAGCTGTCAAGCCGGGGATGTACTCAAAGTGTGGAAGTATGGGAGTACCACCTGCGGCTGCCCTGAGAGCTGTCCACTGTAGCATCCTGTGCGTGCTAAGCTGAGAACCACCTCGAGTGTAAGAGGTGAAGAAGCTCTCCTGTAACAGAGTCCAAAAGCGAGGATCCACATTGTGGTCACGCCTACGCGTGAACCACTCATCGAGAGTCACATTCCTCAACTTCTTCGCCTTAGGCCCTGGCAAGGTCCTCAAATCACGAAGATGGACTCCAAAAACCTCAACCCGGGTGCCCCTGATCCTGCCTCCCTCCTCATCTGTATCACTGCGTGCTCTCTCCGAAGGATGGGAGAAGCACGCTGCTGTGCTGGCCTCTGAACGCTTCCTCCGCGGGTCCGAGGGACGGAACGCAGCTTGTGGAAGAAGGTGTAGCTGTCTCTGTCGACGACGAGTACGGCCTGACCTCCTCAAAGGCTGCTCTGCCGGCTGCTCCCCGAGCACTGTGTAATTGCCTCGAACTGGCTCCCCAACACTGAATGCCCCTCTGTGGCTGCCCCTCAAGATCCAAGCACGCTCGATGCACGCTCCCAATCCTTGTCGGACTTGCTCTTTTTCTTCTTAGGCACAACCTTTTCCTTACCCTTCCTCTTCTACTTTGCCATCTGCAAGAGATATGGTGGAAGATTATAGAATGCCGAGAGAGAGATATACAAGAGTAAAATGTAACTTAAGCATAGCAAAGGGGAGAATTAGATGGGGCCTCACCATTGCACAAGGATTTGGTAGGAAGTGGACTCTTTGGCCTTAAAGACGGCGTGTGGCCAGGCGGGAGGGGCGCGGCGGTGTGGAACCCTAGGCGGTGAGGCGACGGCACGAGAGATGGCGGAGGCGGGTGGCGCATGGGAGCGGAGGCGCACGGTGAAAAACGGGCAGGCGGGCGTGGTAAAAGGCTAGGTTAATTAAAAAAGCGGTAGCGTCGTCAAAAGGACGCCGTGGAGATGCGCGTGTAAAAAAGGCACCGGATGTTCCAATGGGAGTTGATAACAAGGTGAAGCAGTATGCGGGAAGGTCCGACGCTATGATGTTTAGATGCTGTTGGACAAATTTTTCAAGGGTCCAAAATTACTGAGATTTTCTTCACCACCGGATGTTCCCTCTTTGGAACCTAAGAGGCTTGGAACATCCGGTGGTGACAAAATTGTCTGCGCCTAACTAATTTCTCTTCCTTGATCTTATTATAACCTATGTTTGTCATTTTAATGTAATTACATCCTAGGTTTAACTGCTATGTTTTTCATTTTAATAACATGGAAATCTTATCATATAGGTTGTTAAAGATGGATCAAAGAGCATGGATGTATGGTACACGGAGGCATTCGCCTACTTTCATGTCGAGGTAGAGAAGTTTGTGGAGGCTGCGAAGAAGCACGCTTCGCATTTGCAAGACAAAGCAAATTCGTTGTCCGTGTTGTGATTTGTAGCAACAAAATTTTATGGGAGGATACTAATGTCATCAAGAGGCATTTGATACAGGAGGTTTTGTGCATGACTACACAATTTGGTCCCACCATGGAGAGGCGGGGAGCTACTTCCAACAACACATACATCAATACTGGGTGTGATGAAGTGGGTGGTGATGATGCAAGTGACAATGATCATGTTATGATGGATGATGATTACGATCTTGGAGATCAAAATGGTGATCAAACATATGTGCATGTGGAACCAAAAGTGGATGAGGAACGTGATGCTGATATGGAGGACATGTTGCGCCATATTGAACCGGAAGTTTTGCTAGGGACTGCTAAAGGGTTAGAGAATTTCGAGACCCTAAAGAAGGCAGCAAAGGACCATATGTATGAGGGATGTGGGAAGGAGTGGATAGTGCTGTGTTTCGTCCTTCATCTTCTGATCCTGAAGGCTAAATTCGGTTGGTCAGACAATAGTTTCAATGATCTCCTTACTCTGCTTGGCAATTTGCTACCGAAGCCGAACTTTGTGCCAAATAACACATACGAAGCAAAGAAGATTACCAATCCATTGAAGATGTGTGTGCAGAGAATACACGCCTGCAGGAACCACTGCATACTGTACCGCGGTGAGCACGCGGCATTGGAAAGGTGTCCAAATTGCGATGCTAGCCGTTACAAAAGTAATGCCGATTTCTATGGGGACCATGCCGGTTCCTCAATCGGGGATAAGAGGAAGAAGGGTGCAAAGAAAGGTGCTTTGGTGCTCAAGTGGAGGATGAGTCTGTATGGGTATCGACACACGACGACTCAGTTGCAGAGTCCCCGCCTTTGGTGATGTGGTACTTGCCGGTGGTGGATCGTCTGCAAGCGTTTGTTCTCAAACCCAAAACTTCTTGAGCAGATGACTTGGCACGCTGATCGCGTGAGAAGGATGACGGAAAGCTTGACATCCATCCGATGCTCGCCCGATGGAGGACCTTGATGCCAATCATCTAGAGTTTTTAGATGAAAAAGGAATGTACGGTTCGCGTTGAGTGCAGACGGTGGTCTCATCTTGTCTTTGGCGATTGGTGGTTATGTCGTCCGCCAAAGACTGATGGACCATCAGATCTTAACATCTGAAAGCACCCTTGAAGACAGACCGCCATTTGTCTTTGGCTCAAAGTTGTTGGCGGTGCGGAACCCGCCAGCCAGAGTGGTGTTTTACCCGCCAAGAAAAACGTTTTCTATCGTAGTGACTATCGGTTTGTGGCCCCAACCGGCGGTGATGGTCAAAACAACGGCTGTCGGCTAGTGGCTCAAGCCAGCAGGTGTTGAGTAAGCCTACACCGCCGGTCGCTATCTCAAGCCCGCAAGTGTTGAGCAAGCCAACACTTTGTTGGTTGATGGCTCAAGCCACCGGTTGTGTTGGTCGAGCCATCACCGCCGGCTAGTGGTTCAAGCCTTTGTGTTGGTGAAGGCAACACTCTTTGGCTGGTAGGTCAAGCCGGCGGTGATGACTTCAACAACACTGTCGGTTAGTATGTCAAGCCGACAGTGATGTCTTGAGCAACACTGCCAACTCGTGGCTCAAGCCGGCAGTGCCCTCTTTACCATCACTGCCGGTTTTGTACTAACCAGCAGTGATTTATTTTTCGTATTTTATTGTTTTATAATTTTTTTTTCGTGGAATCGGGTTTCGCTTTATATTCGCTACGTAGACGACATGTCCATCAACATCAAACATTACAAATGTTACGGTTACAGTTCAATTGTACTTATCAAGATCTCGATTCCTCAAAATAAAAAAGAAATTACGATGAGTCTAGATAGCCGCTCTGTCCCATAGTGGTCCTTGTACTTCATGGGCTGTGCAATGAAGAATGTTCCGTTATATTCCAATACCTCAGCTAGGATGAAGGCTGCTAGCTCCAATGACAATGCTAAGATCTCCATGTCTAACAACCTTTGGTGTTTAAATTTTTTTGTTTGCCATTCAAAAAAGATGATATCGAAAGGCACAAATGTAAGGGATAACAATAGATCATTTTGTTGAATTAACAAATATAAATGAAATGGGAATTATACACACCAAAGCATCTGCATACTCCGATTTTACACCGAGGTAGCGAAGCATTGCCCACATTACGTAGAACCCGCATTTATTATTTCCCGCCGGCTAGTTTAGGGTCTCCAATTGCATTGGTGCAACCTGGAATGGGACCTTCGTCCCACCGATCATTCTTCCTTGGACACTATGCCACATCATAAAGTGTGAAAAAAGGGCAACATTAGAAATATGTTAGTTTTAACAGTTCATCCTTTTTACTTTGAATACTTCACATCATTTATTTATCATGCAAAAGTACATGTATAATAATAAACTCAAGAAAAGGTTGTGTAAAGAACAAATGATGGATTACTTATTTAAATGAACAACATCTCAACACCTTGGTACAACATGATGATCTCACAATTTTGTGAAAGTAGACATATTACAAATTAACTTAAGGACATCACACTGAAAACCCTTGCTACTAGATAGTGTGCACCGCCTCTTATTAGTTAATCCTTCTGCAGTTCTTCCTGATCTGCCCATTAGAGCCTGTTAACGGTGTGATGTCACCCATCTTTATCATGCCTGTCACAAAATCTGAGAAGAATGTGCTCTGGCTACTGATGTATGATTGAACTTGCGCATCGGTGGCTCCGCCATTGAAGAGCTCCTGGTCGGAGTGTAGAAGCCCCTCCTTGCACACAAGGTTCTTGTAGTAGTTGTTCTCAAAGACGGTTGGGGTTTGAAGGTCCAGAGGCGCCAAATTGTTGTCACCTGAACCTGAGGTTCTAGGGCAGCCTGATTGCCTTGATCTTGCGAAGGTGCCATCGATGTTAGTGTCATTGTATACGTGGGCTCTGAAGTTGGTGCAACGTGCTTGGCCAATGGTGTGAGCTCCTGGCAAAAGAGGCATTACACAAACAAAATGCTTAATGATTTAGATTACTATATAGAGAGAACCCTGCATGATCGAAAGTTACAAA